GCATGATTTTGTTCTGAAGACATCAAAGACATAATGCTTGAGTTAGTGCCTTTATAATATGTATATGTGTGTGTTTATATTTATACATATAATTTTTGAGTGGGGGGTGGTGTTTGGGCTGCACCCGGAAATAGTTAGGACTTACTCCTGACTCTGTGCTCAGGCGTCATTCCTGGTGGCACTTAGAGGACCGTACATAGTGCTGGGGGTTGAACCTGGGTGGGCGGCACCTTAACCCCTGTGCTCTCTCTCCGATCTTGTTACAATCTTCTTAAATAAACCGTTCAGAAATGTTCGCTCACGCTTATAAAAAAAATAATACAAAGTAATACCTAAATTAAAGCAATATTTTATGTTACTTTGTTTACTCTGGGTAAAGATGAACGCATCTCATAGAATAAAGAGTTTATGACTTCAAAAGCACACCAGCTACTTTAATTAAGCAGAGGGGAGCAGTTTAGTGAAAGGTTTTGAATTCTTAATGTAATATTTACACTTGCTGTTTTATTAATGAATCTGAATCTCTCCTTGTTGTATTTAAATTTTTGCGCACTTTTATGAGTGATTTTCCATGGGCAATACATTTCCACCTTTATTAAGTGAGCCCTTGGGAAAGTTTGCCTTGTCTTCCAGAGTGATTTAAACCGACCTATCAGTGACTCATTAGTTCCATACACTCAGGTACACCTGGAATATGATAATGCATAATTGTTATTATCACTTTTTACAGAATTAGGGCAGTCATACGACCAGTGGCCATCCGTTCACCATCACCAATTATGGGCACTATTTAAATGCTTGGCCTGCATTCATTAATATCACAGTTATTTAAAATATATGTTTTCCTTCCTATCTCCAGACTGATGTCTCTTGGGATTCTTACTTTTATGAAGCACCCAAGTAAAAACTATCCCTAGCTTCCGTGCATTTGTCCACTTCCTATGTGGAACTTCCCATTGGTTATTCGTCGATTGCCTCGAGCAGGCCCCGGTAACGTTTCCTTCATCCTAGCCCTGAGATTTTAAAAAAGTGCCACATTGGAGGCATTTTCAGGGTCAGGAGAATGAGACCCTTCATCGTTACTGGTATTTGGCATATTGGGTACGCCACGGGGAGTTTGCCAGACTCTGCCGAGTGGGCAGGTTACAGTCGGTAGCCTGCCAGTTTGTCCAAAGTAGGAATGAGATGATAAGATGTCATAATAAGATGTCGCGCGGCCCTGGTGCCCCTGGTGCCCTGGTGCCGTGTAATCCCATCAACGGCCCCATTGGTAATAGAAGTAAAAATGGAAGGAGGGTTGCCCAGTTACCCTGAGTGCGTCCCCGTCCAGTGGGTCACACGGCTGCCGCATCAAGCAGGTCTGGGAACCCCCTGAGGCGAAGGGAGCAAGAACCCAAGCCCCAGAAAGATGCTCCGTGCCAAGCGTGTGACAGGCCCTGACACCGAGCCAGGGAGAGGACGCAAAACAAACTTACCAAGAGCAGGGAGGAAATAATCGATCTGGGCCAAGTGGCTGGATCCGAAGCAAGTCTGAGGTTTCCGAGGACCGCGAGAGAGCAGCAGAATGGGGCGGCCGCACCCTATGGCGGGTGTCTCGCCTGTCTCCTTCTCTGCCTTGGGATTCTTCAGGGGGTCGGACACATTTGTTGTAGGGCAGGAGCTGGTTTGGAAGCAGTCTGGGTTTGGCCACTGTAGGTCTGAGGCTGTCATTTCTTGTCTTCAGCAGAATACTTCATCTGACAGCCTTTTTCTCTGTTTTACTGAGATAAAATTGACTTAGAGCTAACTGATTTCACATGGACAGCACATATTGGCAGTGAACTGTTGCATGCATATGGTATTGTGTACTAATCACACCAGGGCTGGAGCGATAGCACATCTGGTAGGGCATTTGCCTTGCACGCAGCCAACATGGCCGACCCAAGTTCGATTCCTCTGCCCCTCTCGGAGAGCCCAGCAAGCTACCAAGAGTATCTCGCCCACACGGCAAAGCCTGGCAAGATACCCGTGACGTATTCGATAATGCCAAACACAGTAACAATTGTCACAGTGTTACTGGGCCTGCTGGAGCAAATCGATGAACAACGGGTGGATAGTGATAGTGATGGAATCACACCAGTGTGTCTATTATCACCATTATCAGCACACATTTGTGCACCATTTATTATTATCATCATAGGTTTATGATCCTGTGTTTGTTTCAGGGAGTGTAACCAACACTTGACACACCATGCTTTACCCACAGTGGTACCCTCCTTCACCCATCTTGGCGACCACAGATCTCTGTTTCGGTTTTTACTTTTATTTATTATTATATTTTTTGCTTTGTGGGTCACACCCGGCGATTCACAAGGGGTTACTCCTGGCTCTGCACTCAGGAATGACTCCTGGTGGTGCTCAGGGGACCATATGGGATGCTGGGAATCGAACTCGGGTTGGCCACGTGCCAGGTAAATGCCCTACCCGCTGTGCTATCATTCCAGCCCTGTTTGGGTTTTTAAAGGTTCCACATATAAGTGAAGTGGTAGGATACTTTTGTCTTTCTGTATCTGCTATCTCATTTAGCATCATATCCTCAAGGCTCACCCTGGATGTTGTCAATGAAGGCTTTCCATCCTTCTAAGGTTGAATGATATTCCATAAGCGTATTTACACACACACACACACACACACACACACACACACACACCAGATTTTCATCCTCTGAAGAGCACTTTAGCACTTTGGTTGTTTCCATATTTAAATTATTCTTAGCAATCCTATGGTGAATATGAGGTGTGAATATCTCTTCACAGTCATGAGTTTGGATAGAAGTCAAATTCCTGAGTACTTCATTATTCTATGTCTGATTTTTTTGAGGGGTGGATATTTTTCTACAACGGGCAGACCAGGTAATCGTCTCCCTCACAATGTGCTGGACAGTGCCGTTTCTCCAATTTTCATTAGCATTTGTTCTCTCCTGTCTTTTTGGTGATAGCATTCTCACAGATAGGAGGTGATTGATTACTCACCGTGGTTTCAATTTGCATTTTTCTTTTAATATCTCTTATTATTATCGAATCACTGTGAGATACGCAGTTACAAAGTTGTTCATGATTGGGTTTCAGTCATGCAATGTTCCATCATCCATTCCTTCATCAGTGTACGTTTCCCACCAATTTCCCACCGTCAACATCCCCAGTTTCCCAGTTTCCCTCCTGCCTTCCCACCCCACAGCCTATCTCTATGGCAGGCATTTTCTCTCTCTCTCTCTCTCTCTCTCTCTCTCTCTCTTCTTTTGGGCACTATGGCTTGCAATGCGTGTACTAAGAGTTTATCATGTTTGTCCCTTCACCTCCTTTCATCACTCAGTTCTTGTTCAGAGTGATCATCCCGAGCTGTCTTTGGCATCGTGGTCCCTTCTCTATTCTAACTGCCCTTCCGCTGCCACCACTTGTGGCCAGCTTCCAACTGTGGATCATTCAAGGGTCAACTTGCAGTTTTTCTCATGTGCATCTTTCTACTTGCATGGAGCATCGAGTTTGATCCCAGACATCCCAAGGCACTGCAGCAACAGGAGCCGCAATGAAGGGACCAGGAGGGGAACACATAGAATTTTTGTTGGACATCAAGTATATCTCCATCACTGGGCAACTTTTTCCCCACCTAATTTGTCTACCTCTTTTCTCCCTTCCCTTCTTGGTAACCACTGTTTGGTTCTTCTAGTCTTAAAAGCTTTTTTTTTTTTTCTTAATTTGTTTTATTCCTTTCTGATCTTTAGCTGCCATGTAGGTATGAAACCATATGACATTTCTCTTTGGCTTCTTTTGCTGAACACAGACACCCTCTAGAGTCACCCATGTGGTTGCAAATGGGAGCGTTTCCCGTAACTTTTGTGTGGTGGGTGGTGGTTTTGGGGGGTACCCAGTGATGCACAGGGATCTCTCCTGGGGACCAAACCTGACTCAGCTGCACACAAAGAAAGGGCCTGAATTGCTGTACTCTGGCTGGCTCAGAATTTCATCCTTTTAAAAATTGTTAATTTTTTGTGTTTGGGACTTGGGTGGGGCAGAATCTGGTGGAGCTCAGGGCTGCTGACTCTGTGCTTGGGGGTCTCGTTACAGTATGGTCTGTTGGGGCTTCAGCTTGGGTCATCTGTGTGCAGCACATGTGCCTTATCTGCGGGACGATATCTCTGGACCCCAAATGCTAGCATTTTATTAAAGTTAATGCTATCTTTCTGCTTCTTTGACAAGTACAATCCCAGAAAACATTAACCAGACATATTTAATTTTTTTTCCTCCCGATTTCCAGCTGTGAAAATACTGAGTTTTGAGAGTATGTTTTCCTATGCGATTGCAGAATTGTCCGCTTAACTAGTCTTATGTCAGAAGCTGAAAGTTAATGAATAAGTTTTGTAATTTCTGTAATTTCTGTAATATAGGTGTGATAAAGAATTTAGCTTCATGATGGTCAATGTAAAGGTTGTGGTTTTTAAAAAATGATTTTCTTTTGGGTAGATAATTGTGGCAAGCATTTATAAACTTTTTTTCTGGATATATGCGTTTGAAGATCTTACGTGATTGCCTAACCATTCTTGAATAATGAAAGCTTCAAAATACTACGAATTTCTATGCCTGATGAAAATGAAAGTAATGTACATAAATTTAAGACATGTATTTTTTAAAATTTCCTTTCTCTCTCTCTCTCTCTCTCTCTGTGTGTGTGTGTGTGTGTGTGTGTGTGTGTGTGTGTGTGTGTGTGTTTGGGCCCCTCCTTGCTGTGCTCAGGGATCACTCCTGGCACTGCCCAGGACACTATCCATATTGGTTGCTAGGAAGTGAATCTTAGTCACGTGCAAGGCCAGCACCTTACCCACTATACTATTGCTCTGGCCCATATTTTTAAAATTTCTTATTAAAATGGCAAACGTTGCTAAAAATAATTTGGCAGGTGTTTTTATTTTTCCCATGTTAAGTCTTTCAAAACTTGAGCCTCTCGTATTGCTGTCATTTGAACAGGTGTCTCAATGCGTGTACCTACTGCAAAACCAAACATGCCAGAGGAAACTTGGCCAGTTATCCAGTTGATGAGCTAGTGGATAGAGCCAAGCAGTCTTTCCAAGGTAAGCGTTTCTAGAATCATCTCGAATTTCGCTTTCTTCGAAAATTACAGTAATCTTCTAAGTAACTCTTCCGTTTAAAGTATGTGCTCTTTAGTTTTCTTCAGGGTTTATAAACATTTCAGTGTATCTTTTAAGGTACACGTTACCAGATTCAATAAGAAAAGTCATAGACTTTCATATTAATTACTCTCATTTTAATATGGTAATGTATTTTGAACTTTTTCACCAATTTTTCGACTTCTTGGGAGGAAAAATGAAATAAATACATGACCCTCTAATGTATGTTTAGATTTTTATGAACTTAATGAAATCCCTTTCTTTTTCTCGGGAGGATGTTGGGGGGCACAGCCAGCAATGCTCAGGGCTTACTTCTAGCTTTGTGCTTCGGGGATCGCTACTCATGGGGCCATGTATGACTGTGGGGATCATACCTACCTGGATTGGTTGGTACAAGGCAAATGCCCTACCCCCGTACTATTTCTCTGGCCCATGTGGTAATTGTTGACCCTTTTGAAGGTAGAGCTAAGGAGATAGTTTATAATACATTCACACACTTACACATACACACACACACACACGCACACATGCACACGCGGTCAATAAAGATAACTCTTCCTGTTGCATTGGAGCTTTGTTTGACCGATAGAGAGTGTTTTGGTCGAATCCGAACCAGAATAATTCTTTGTGTGGGTGTCCAGCTACCTCTTGGTTTTGTAGCAGTGTGATTTTCTAGATAACTGTTTGTCCATATCATGATTTATCTTTAACATGAGTCAGTTTCTTTGATATAGAACAGCTTAAACCTTCAACTTCCTCTTCATCTTTGTTTATATATGTGAACATAACATTGTGTGTCTTTACACCCCACCTGAGGTACTTATTGTATTAATCTTGTGTGTTAGTCACCTGGCAGTGTACTTTTAGCAAGGAACTAGAAGTGTTTCTTTCAGTACTTTATACCCTGACATCAGAAACTGTGTGTTCCAAACGTATTCTTTCCTTCAGTCTATCTAACGTTTTGATCAGCTTGGTTTTGTTACAGGAAAATACCTTTCATTGATTTATTAAAACCCGATAACAATTTTTATTCTATTATCAGTTCAGTTTTCTCTATTCTCATTCAGGTAGTATTGAAAGAGAAAAAGAAACACATAGACTCTTACTACTGTTTGTCGCAGTTTAATTATTGTATCTGGAGAAAAGATGAAGTGGCTATCCTAAAAAAAAAAAAAAGGAGAGAGAGAGAGAAAACATAACAGAGCTATTTTGAGGATTTCTTTTCAGTAGGGGCCATTTGCCCAGAGGCCTAATCTATTTCAACAATGAAGCCTTTTCCTGGTTTGATCACTATGTATGTTTCTATATGTTTTTTGATTAGGAAGAGATCAAAACTAAACACTACATATTGGAATATGCATCTGTGTTTCTTTGAAGTGTTTTTCCACAAGAGCAACCACATATAGTTTAGTTTCGAGTTTTTTCTTTTTTTTTTCTTTTTTTTCTTTTGGGGTCACACCCAGCGATGCTCAGGGGTAAGTCCTGGCTCTGCACTCAGGAATTATCCCCGGCAGTTCTCAAGGATGCTGGGGATACCTGAGATATTGGATATATTGGATGCTAGGGATTGAACCTGGGTCGGCTGCATGCAAGACAAATGTCCTACCCACTGTACTATCACTCCAGCCTCTAAGTTTAGTTTTTTTTCCTCTTTTTACGCAGAAAATGTATTTGAAACATATAGAAGTGTTAAATCCCTTTTCAGAAAGTTAATATATTTTCTTGGCTCCTTTCCTACATGCACCTGTAATCTACACTAACATGCTAATTACCTCTTGACATAATATGAATATTTTATGCATATCATATGGTTTTAGAAGAAGAAGAGTGAATAAACATGTTTTTTTTTAAATGAAATGATTATGGAATTATTTCGAAGCTATCCAGTTTAGTTCATTTATTTTTGGAAATGTCCCCAAAGCAACAGAGTTGCAACACATTATGTGGTAGGATTTTAAATATTAGTTAACATGTCTTATCCAAGTGGATTGGGCCAGATATGGTGAGTGTCTCCAAGAATAAGATATTACCAATGATTTAGTGACTGCTTATATAGAACGTATTAGAAGAGATTTATTTAGTATCACTGTTATCCTTTGTACCCATATGACATTTTATTCCCAGTGATGGAGTTTTTTCAGAGTACAGCTTTTCCAGGGGCTTGGAGGACTGGTCAGTGGCTGGAATCAACCACAAATGTGGGTGGGACGGATGGTAGGTAAGATGGAGAAGAGACCAGTATGACAATAATAGCTGGGAATGATCACGCTGGACAAGAGCTGAGGGTTAAAAGTAGGTAAAGGGATATTCTTGATAACCTTTCAGTATCAGTATTGCAAACCACAATACCCAATGCGGGGGAGGGAAGGAGGGAGGGGGGAGAGAGAGAGAGAGAGAGAGAGAGAGAGAGAGAGAGAGAGAGAGAGAGAGAGAGAGAGAGAGAGTCCAGGGCTTAAAACACTTGTCTTGCTTGCTTTGAACCCCCATTAGACCCTGGTCCTGGTCCCCTGAGTATGGGCACAAATCACTCCTGAGCACAGAACCCAGGAGTAGCCCCTGACCACCGCAACACTGGAATCAAAGACCCAGCCCCTCTCCCCCCTGAAAAGGACTTGTTACTGAAGCTGAGGATATCTGAGGATATTTAAAATGAATCTCATATGTGAAACCCAATTTTGGGAAAAGTTTTGGAACTTCTATCACAGACATTGAGAACAAGAATGAAGTAACCAGTTTTCTCTTGCTTCTACGTCTGAGATTTTGTCTGTCTGTTTGTTCTCCGATCACCTCCTGCAGTGCTCCGTTCAGTTTGGTGCTGAGGGGTCCCTCCAAGTGCAGGTGAGGGAATTGCGAGGTGCCAGTAGTTACCTGTGTCTTTATGAGCGCTGGCCCTGAACGAAAATATCACGGTCCTCCCATTGTTCATCTATTTGCTCGAGCGGGCCCAGTAACGTCTCCCTTGGAGAGTTTGTTGTTACTGTGTTTGGCATATCGAGTACGTCACGGGTAGCTTGCCAGGCTCTGCCATGCGGGCTTGATTCTCTTGGTAGCTTGCTGGGCTCTCCGACAGGGGCGGAGGAATCGAACTTGGGTCGGCCAAGTTGGCTGTGTGCAAGGCAAACACCCTACTGCTGTGCTATCGCTCCAGCCCAATGAAAATGTATTTCATGAAAAATATCACTTTAGATAGGACTTGGGTAGTGAACATTACTTTTTTATTTCCTACATTTAAGAGATGCAAATCCATCTTAAAAATAGCCTTTAGTGCTCGCTTCGGCAGCACATGTACTAAAATTGGAACGATACAGAGAAGATTAGCATGGCCCCTGCACAAGGATGACACGCAAATTTGTGAAGCGTTCCATATTTTTGGGTACTCGAAATAAATAAATTAAAAAATAGCCTTTAAATCCCTCTGCACCATTGAGAATATCAGTGTTTCAGCCCACATTTAAAAAACTCAATTTGGCAACTTTTTTTTTTCCCCTGTCAAAGATACTGAGAGTTTAATGTTCTTACAGAGTTTCCTATGTTTGAACTTAAAAGTTGTGAAGAATAATGATGGAGTTCAATCTAACTCATACCCCGTATTCTGCATTTTATATTTCTTACATATTTATTTTGAATCCTTAAGGTTTCTGGGGGACCTGAATTCCGTAAGTTCTGTAGTGTCCCATTGTGAAATTACCTGTCCTGTGGTGGATAACACACAGTGTGGTTCTGTGTCAAGTTCCTTTTAGCGTGAATAGTCTGTACTTGCTGTGGAGAAATTTAGCCCTGTGCTTAAAGCCGCGCATCAGGGTGTGAAAAGTGTCCTCCCCCGGGCACTCAGGATAAACCAGAGTGCTAGACACTGTGTCTGATGGGTGAGGCCCTCCGTTCAATCCTAGGCACCCCATGCCCCCGGAGCACTGCCAGAGGAGGATCAGGGGAGGGCAGAGGTCTTAATCACAGCAGCAACAAAACAGCCCTACTTCTCTGCTTGTGGATGGCGTTTCCTCTCTTGTTTTCACATTTGTGTGTGTATGTTGGGAATGGTAGAGGGGTGGAGGGTGTATCCCAGGGGCTACTCCTGGCTCTGTGCTCAGGAGTGACCCCTGGCAGTGCTTGAGGGGTCAGTGGAATGCAAGGCCAGTGCCTTAACTTCTAGATTATTTCTGGAACCCTCTTAGCACTACAGCACTGTCCTCCCATTGTTCATTGATTTGCTCGAGCAGGCCCAGTAGCATCTCCATTGTGAGACTTGTTGTTACTGTGTTTGGCTTATCAAATACGTTATGGGTAGCTTGCCAAGCTTTGCCGTGCGGGTGAGATACTCTCGGTAGCTTGCCAGGCTCTCTGAGAGGGGCGGAGGAATCGAACTCTGGTCAGCTGGGTCAGGGTCAGCCGCGTGCAAGGCAAATGCCCTACCCGCTGTGCTATTGCTCCAGCCCAGGAACCCTCTTATTCTTTTTTTTTTTCTTTTTGGGTCACACCTGGAGATTCACAGAGGTTACTCCAGGCTCATGCACTCAGGAATTACTCCTGGCGGTGCTGGGGGGGAACCATATGTGATGCTGGGAATTGAACCTGGGTCTGCCGCGTGTAAGGCAAATGCCCTACCCATTGTGCTATCACTCCAGCTCCCCTTCTTATTCTTTTAATGACTATTGTGTACCAGAATCATACCATGAATTGTTTTTTTTTTTTTTACAGAAAGCCTAACCAATTGAAGATTGTGGATTTAGAAATTCCGAGTCTAAAACCCAGGTTGCCCGCCACAGGAAAGATGGTATAGGAAGGTCACAGTTTCCTTCTGAATAGAGTGTTTTTGCATATTCTGATATTTGTATGTTTGCGTGTGTATATATGTTTTGGCTCATACCTGACGATGTTCAGGGCTTCCTCCTGGCTCGTGCTTAGGGATCTCACTTGGTGTCGTTCCTCCCGGGGACCAATTGCAG